TTTTTTTATATTTTGTTGAACCGCAAAAGTTACATAAAATCTAGTCATGAAATCAACATTGATCTTATTACAACTTACTGACCAATTGATGTGCAACGGAGCGTTTGCTATACAGCGCTTATTATATACATAATATTAATACATATATACACATATCGTGTGCAGACAACTGTTAAGTACAATCCTATGATTGAGTCATTGACTTGTGATTTCGCTTTTGACTTTAAATATTGTAATGTATTTTTTTATTTTTTTGTCTGCATTATAACGAACGTTATTAACACTTTTATTTTATAGTGTGACTAATTAAATACGATTTTTGATTTTCGGTAGTATTGGTATACTTGTAGAGTAAACAGCCAACGCTCAAATCATACCTAATAACAAAACGGTATTTACATTTGAATCGACAGCAGATGCGGTTTTATGGATTTCCGTTCGACAGCGATAATAATGATATACTAATACATAATATGCAAACATGTCCGACGAAAAGACATAGCGCAGCTACCCCACTAACTAGTATTAGCTTTAATCATGTAGAACCGCGACGGTAGTCTAAATATAACTGATAAGTACATTTGTTTCGTTCGTTACAACGCCAATGCAATTTGTACGCGTATTATACTGAAAAACAATACGACAAATTTGTCTAATGTGCCAACAAAAGAAAATTGTTCGAATTTTAGTAATTACACAAACAATGGTCATCGCCGGTGTATTGTTTCACGACGATTGGCGTGTGTACTTTAAGCATGACGTCGTTAATATTGTATTATGTGGTGGCGTTGATTGGCTCGGTGTAAAATGTTCGGCTATTTACACCGATAATGATACGCTAATTATCTACATGCCGAACATGTACGATTTTTTTGGACAAAGCTCATTTTCTCCTGTAAAGCGCTTGTTAAAGTATGCATGCAATAACCAATGGTGTGTCAGTGTTCAGGGCCCAAAAAAAAACTGTAGCTCTGTCTCATAAAATGGCCAAACCGTGTCATCTGCGGTGCCAGATGTTTCTGCCCGGGTGTGTGTACAATATACGACGGACGCATGCAACGAGCACCTGGTTTTTTTATCCCCAGGATTGGTTCCCAAAATATTATAGAAAATCAAAACAAATATCACGAACAGTGTTTGAACACATTACCTAACCTACGATACCACAGACAATTACAATCCGACATAGTCCGGTTACCTAGTATTTTTCGACAGGTAGTCAACATTACATGTGTCTTGCATCCCTTGCAAGTAGACAAATGGCGAATTTCTTAATTAGTAACAAAAAAATCGTTTCTCCCATTGTAGCTTCGACGATGAAACGTTGGATGTGTTTTGTTGAATGGGGCAATCGCTCATATTATTGGTTGGTATTCCCAAGTCCTTATTCATTTCTTTGCGGCTATTGAAACCTTCATAACCTTGATAATTTAATTTGATTTCTGCTATTTCAACACTAACTATCGTCCTAACGATTATAATACACAGAACTGTCCCCGAGTCTTAATCTCTTTGGTCTTGACTTATAAAAGTAAAAGTGAGTAAGTATACATAATACTAACCTATACGATGAAAACATATAAGGACAAATTTCACCGTCTTTGAAAGCATTACACGTTTTACCGTGCAGACTTTTAAATAAAGATATAATTATTTAAAATTAACTCAGTCAAAGTTACAATATCACCATCGCTTTGCTTTGAAGCTAAAAACAGATAAGTTGATATCCGGTTTGGAAGTGTTACCTAACAAGTTTTCATAAAATACACTCCAGCGAACATCTGTACTTAGCGTTATGAATGGTAGTATGGTTTAACTATATATTTTATTCTTAAACAAATCTTAAATTGGACAATAAAACAAATTTTCAACAACCTATTAATTTTTGAAGGAAATATTTTCAAAAATAAACCATTCGTTACTTAGTAAAAAGTTTAAAATATTCTAATGTTATCTATCAAATAAAGCTATCATCTCCAAGCAATTGGCCTAATAGTGCAAAAGTTTTAACTTAAACGTTTATTTATTTTTAGCTGTCGAAATTCGTTTGTTGAATAATTTGTTAATATAGTTTTATCATAAACAGTATTGAATACTGCGTACTATCCACACTATTTTAAGTACTAAGTGTTGTTTAGAAACAAATAATTTTATATTTCTTTAAGTTATAAAAAATTATTTAATGTTTAAAAAATTGATGAGTGTTTTAAGAATTTCTGATCGTTAAAAAAAAATAATGACTTCGGCATCAGCACTTTACAATAGACATTCAATAATTTATTATTATTTTTAATACAGTATATACAGTCATATTATACCACTACGAGATAATAATAACCAAAAAAAACATAAAACAAATTGCCGTAAAAAAATATTTGATTCCGTAATAACAAAGGTGTCAATAATGAAAAAGCAGTGTAGCAACTAAGAGTTTTGGACACTAAAACGTGACAAAGTTTTACGGCCTTTGTGTCTCATCATGAAAGAACGATTCAAAAATTCACCTCGATACTATTAAATTTGAATTTTGCGACTTGTGGTGAAGTTTTGCAAAGAAATAACTATTTAGTATGACGGACGGTATTCCAATTGCTCGCGAGTTCCTTTGTTTATTCACAAATATTAACCCATCAAATAATAGTTTACCGGTTCTAAATTAAGTCATGCAAGCGGTCAACCGAATAAACGAGGAGAAAATATATTTGTGAGGTTTTTGTCTGGTCGAACAAAATCCATAACGATCAATATTTGTTCGGTAAATCACGGCTTACTGTCAACGATTTTAAAATAAAGCTTCTGTAAGCCGCAATTAAATCCAATTTAATCCGGTTATTTTATTTCTCTGTACATACATGGTTTTTTTTCTACACAGGTACGTTTTTTTAATAATTTAAAATACTTTATTGGGCCAAATTATATCATTATCATTTTTATGACAAATCATACAAACTTATTGCTTATAAAATCAACAGCACTGCTATGAGTTTTGTCTTGATCATAAATCCTAATGTACCGTATACGCTAACTCTACATGTAGGTACTGGATAATTATTGAGTTAATATCTATTAAATAGCGTGTATTATTTCCTTACATGATGTAATATATTATTTTGAATAAAAAAGCATGTAAAACAATATTATATCAGTTTATGAGTGTCCGTATTGCAATTTTATACACGTATTGTTGCACGGATAAAAATTAATTCTACTTCCAGAACCGATTTAAATGATTAAATTATCATTAGGCTAATGCGCATTAACATTAAGTTTCACGCACGTCAATACCAGATTTACTTATTTCACATTAACATATTGCACGAAAACGCAGTAAATTAAATTAAATTGCATTCCTAGAATTACATAATTTATATAATCCCAATTGTTAATACACATAAGTCCAAAGTGAATAGTTATAATAAAAAATATTAACCTTGTTGAGAAGATGAGTAGTTATTGGTTACGCGTCGATGTGTATAATATATTATTTACTATTAACTAATTTGTTTAAAAATTAAATTATTATTTTAACTCGAGTAGATAATACTACATTTATACTCCGTTAAGTAAGTTAATGCGCATCAGCATTTGGGAGTACGTGACATTTATTTATCCTGGAGTTAGATGAATTAATTCAATTGGAGGAATAGAACGAGAACATGAACGAGTTAGTTCGCATTAGGTTAATGCGGATTAACGTCGGCATATTATAAACAAACTGTTACAGAAATCAATAGTTGAAGAAGCAAATAAAGTTGTTTATTTTACAAGAACGGATTCAATAGAAGTAGGTATGTTTCGAGAGCACATTTTACTTGATTGTATTAGTTTTTCTTTCTCTTAAATTGTTACATTATATCTTGGTATTTTTTAAATGTATAATTATTACTACCTCCCCTACCTAATTATTTTCATATATAATAAATTAAATAAATAACATTTAAGCTGTGTTCAAATAATGCCTAACAAAAGAAAATAGCCCACGTTTATTAAAAACAATTAAGCGATTAATTGCTAAAAAAAAATTAGTCAAAACTGACATAGGTTGAACTTTACTTTTAAAAACCGACCGGCGACCATGCCTAAATTACATTTTCCCAAATTATAAAACAATATTGAAACCCGCACACTAGCAGAAAACATTGTGTGTACTCAAAACCCAAAACCGAACAGAATAATTTCGGTTCAAAGCCCCGGTAATACCAATAACAACAACATCGATGTTAAATTAATTAATCGACGGTGATTAATTAAGGTTATGGTGACCTATCGTCCGTCAGAAAGGTCACCCCACGTGGTCGCTAATCGCCATCTCAGTTTCTCCCGTCTCCCAATTGGCATATTATCAACCGTATACCGATCGCCAGGTAACCGTACTAGTATCAAATACAGGTAATATACAATGGACACAACCACGGAATAGATTAAAGCAGAAGGGTCACTTAACAATGTAATAAAAAATAGTGACGGCCATGATTGCTAGTCAATACCGCGTAGAAAAATTGCTCCGGATTTGGAAAAAGAAGTATCTATTCTTGTTAATTTCTCATTATAACTGATAACAATGTAACATCTTCCAAGACTGGGGCAAATGCGGAAAGATAAGAAAATGTTGTTATCTAGCAATCGTGCCTGTATATTTACTATTTAGCCATGGCCACGACCTTGGCGAATTGGTAAGTCTTTATCAAAAGTCGCACGAGTCCTTTGCCCGCGGCCTCTCTCCGGTTGCGTCGTGTCATCGAGTTAAGGGTTTACAGTTTAGTGTTTACATGATCGGCTTTTGGCGCGAGTATTGCCTAAATTTACGTTGTACTTGCAAGTATATGGTAGTAGTTGCCGTTGTACTAAGTGGCGAGTAGTTACTGGTTAGTATTCCTACAATCGCGTTCAACCGGCGGCCGACCGACCGATTCGTCACAACACCGTCGCCATCGCCCCACCACCGTCCGGCAAGCAACACAACAAAACGTCCACAACGACGGCGGCCGATAAACCCGCGTGCCGCCGCAGTCTGTGCTGTGCGGAATCGTCGAGCGGGTCGCGTACGTTTGCGGTACAAACACAGTCGACCGTTACCGGCATCGCCGCCGTCGCGTCGCATTTGTCGTTTATCCAGTGTCCTCTCATGATACAGAACTATTAGCAATAATTTTTAAGTCAAACGAATCGTCGCGCAAAGGTTTGTGCTGATCTAATAGTATTATATTAGTGTAGAAATAGAGTAATGATTATTGGTTGAAATAATCGGTTGCGCTGTGCGAGAGGCCCCCGGTGGCGTTTGGCGCAGCCGACCTCAACCGTGTCCAATCTTATCGGCAGCTTCCTCCGCCGCCGCTTTCTCGCGAAAATCATAATGCGGTCAATCGATTCGACGAGCTGCGTTAAAGGTCGACGGAATCCGTACGATTACACTTGAGTACGATCGACGGACGCAAAAATGTAAAACTTTAACCATAGGATGATGCGAATTTTCGTTGGATGCCGTTTAACCGTCCTTGCAGAACACGATGGCCAAACGTTCTGTCGGTACCACGTTTGTTGTTGTTGTCGTTTGCTCCAAAAAAAACTTGCAAAACGCTTTCGGTCGATCTGTTCGTTATCAGTCGATTCGAGTGGTTTGTGTTGTTGGGATGATATTGTCGATTGTATGGGATTATAGGTGTTAAAGTTGTGATAATGTAAACATTTTTAATATAATCTTTTTTATATATATAAAAAAAAAAAAAAAGGTTGCATAATAAGAATAAAAATCATCCGTGATATCAAAACGAGTATTTGCGTAACCAATGGCGGGAATAACGCGTTTTATTTTCGTCGGTGGTTCCTAAACGAGGTAAACGACAACATCAACAACAACAAAGATCCTACTACTGTTATCTCCTTCGCGTTGCGCCGTAGGGTCCCGTCCGACCTCTGCCGACGAGCCGCCCGTGTACGACTATCCCACACGTGTTCGGATACAGCGGTCTTGCCGACGGTCCTTAACCTTAATGGTTAACAGGTTAGAATTTCCAAAAGTAAAGAAGAAAAAATATCTATTGTAATACAAAATAATAATACCCATATATTTACGCGCATACGTTTTCTACAGAAGAAGGGACTCGTTGAAACCGCCCCATACATTTTTTAAGTAATAAAAAAAGAAAAGGTAAATAAATAATAAGACATCTGTTTCGACCAAAATCGACCCTTACTTGGGCCAGCACACTTTTTGCCTAAACTACATAACATGTAGTTAACTTATATCGTGTTTGGGATTATACTTTCAATATATTATTTACATATTAATTTAAATCGATTACGTATAATGTATGTTATATTCAAGTAAATTGTTTCCATATCTCAAATAGGCTCAAATTACAGATATTATACATCTATAAACTCGATTGCTGACTGCCATGTTGGCCAGCAAACCAAGTAAGATCGCAATTTTGCGGGATTAGACCTTTATCTCATACGTTATACGTACGTTTTCTGTGATAATAAATCATTTTAGGGATAATTTTCAGTGACAGTAAATATTTTTTACTGTTATTAAATTGTCGTTATAATTAATTTATTCGTCGTGTGTAAGACCCAAGTATCACAAAAATGGCTCCGTTCATTCTGTGTCTTAAACTAACAACTGGTTAACATTTTTAATTGCTGACTCTAATTTTTTAATGGAATAATATACTATAGTTTTCTACTAAAATAAATTATTCTGTTATAGTAATTTTGTATGAATACTCTTTAATTTTAATTACCAATTATTTTAGATAATATAAGCAATAATAATAGTATTATAATTTAATGTTAAACATTCTCGTCGACAGTTTCTTGGTCATAAACCGTAACTCATAACTTATGGCTAGGTATGAAAAATATATCTTGAAACCACTGAAGGCCGAAATTAGACATTTGAACCTTAATTTCTAGCATTGTACTTTATATGCATTTACTTAGCGGATTTTGATTATTGTAAAATTAAGAAATTAATTAGAATACAAATTTAAGTTTGATTGGAACAAAAAAAAAATCCGCGAGTTACTAAAATGTATTTTTTTCGTTCCTCAAAACTAACAAATGTTAAACATGAGAGAAGGGTAAGTCTCTCCGTGCTCGTCATAATGACCGAAACCGGTTGCCCTTTCGCATAGGTAATTATATTAAATCCCATGCGTTTAACTTGATCCTACGCCCTATTTCGAAAAAGTAGATTTTGATTTTTGACGTTATTAGTCAACTAAATACAATGTCCTATTATACAAAACAATGGAACCAGTTTTTAATATTGTTCATTGTGATTATGGATAGACGTAGGTGGACACAGCACCACGTTTTGGATCGATCCGTTTCGATGAGTAACACTTCCCTGTGTATACTTGCACAACACTATTATTATGTATGCATATACACGGATTTAATGACTCGGGACGAACAACTCGGTTCGGCCGGTGCTATATATACAATATACATAGAAGTATTATTATCGTATACTTGCAAAGCGTCCGTTGATTTTTATGCTTTTATACTGTTTACGTTGTACCAAATAAAAATAAAAAAAATGCCAACGTTCTGTGTTTATGTGAATAGGTTTCTTCGAAATCGGTCAGCTCGATGTAATAACACCGAGGATAAGATTATAAAAAGTAATGTTTCCACTTTTTATTGACCATTGAACGATATTAAGAAACAAACCCCGTCGTCTTATCGGTTCGTTCATATTTCTTCTGTATAAAAAAAAAAAATATATATATATATATATATATATATTATAAAAATGTCTATTGGAAACAACTCGACCGATGGCCGTAGTAAAGTTTTTCACAGCTTTGCTATGCCTGACGGATATCATCGACCCAACTTTCCTTTTTCACCCTCGTTTCGCTTACGGCTTAGCATAAAAAATAAAAAAAACATACCGAAACGACCGTGTTAACATTCCGCCCCGTCGACTCGGAACTCATTTTTTTAATTCATGTTTTCATCTTCCGCCACAACTTTCCCTATGAATATAATATTATATAAAACGCAACACTTAAGACGAGAGCTGCACATAAATAACGCCGCAACGCGGTGGTCTCGTGTGTTTTAGGATAAATGAAAAAAACAATACCCAAATTTTTACAGTACAAATACTTTTACGATATCATAACGAATAAAAAAAAAAAAATAGATTTTACATTAAAAAAAAAAACGAGAGTACTTAATCGCTTCATGCAATAAGGGCCTCGATCCTTAACATTAAACGTTTGGAAAAATGAAAAAACCGTTTGATATGTTTCAAAATGCATAAACATATAAAGGCTTTATCAAAGTTAATAGATATTAAACAGTACAATTACATTCTGTAAAACAATATTATTATTTTCAAATTATTTTTCTTCAAAAAATCGGTGAAAAATTGAAAAAAAAAATACATATAGAAAAGGGTTTCATTGGCGAATATAATAAATAACCGTATACTTGTTTTTGAAAAAATGGCCCTTGTAACCGTTTTGGTTCTAACTACTTTAATATGAAGGGCATCAGGGAAGGGTAGTAGCCCTTAGGTGACAGTTGTTTAGAAGGACAAAAACAAAGTTAGTTTGCGTGTACAAATTTATGTGTCAACCGTTTTTAAGGTGCTAAATTAGCCCAAACGATTCCTTGTTTCCGCCAAATGCATATCTATATTCGATAATAATGCCAATGTACTTTTTAAATGGTACCATCAACTCAAAGTCGAAAAAATTGACAAATACCATCCTTCTCCTGTGTCCTTCATGTTATGTTTTGATGGGATTATAAAAAAAAACCCTACCCAGTTTTTACATTTGCACTTACTCTATTAAACCTATATTTTTGGGTAAATATCGAACATTTTCTGGGATTAAACAAAAAAAAAAACCGATGGGTGTTTTTTAATTTTTTTCTGCCAATTCTGTGACAAATGTTGTTAAAGTGAAATGTATCGTGTACATAATTAAAAATCCCATTAATATAATTTTAATGTCGTTCAATATAATTTTGCTTAAAAGACAAGTTCAACTATTCTATAAATTTTGAGTTGTGGCTAACTACGCTTATAGACAAATCATAGATTTTTGTTGCTCTAAATCTTTTCTTTCTGGGTTACTGTGTGAATGAAAAAATACAACACAAACGACTATTTTATGTTTTATGGAAATGTTTTGTTATTTATTTAGCGTGCACTCGTTCTAATTGGGTAAGGTTAAGGAGAGTAAGCCGGTTTCACACAATAGTCGTTCTTGGCCCTCCCCCATTGAAAACCTCATCGACAACAATGCTACTAGGTATGGCGTGCAATAATTTTCGGTTACCTTATGGGACTATTTTTCTCGGTTTAGGTTGTAATTTTACCCGTGTGTTACCTTCGCCTGTGTATGGTGGCCTCTTGTCAATTGTATATTGGTTCTCTTTCAACACTACAATACACAACCCGACATGTATAGAATAGCTTCTTCTACTGCTCTCGGGTCTTTTTTTTAATATTGTTATCCGAAGTCCATAATACACGCGTTCACAGAACTAAACCACTTTAAACATTCTGTACGCCTTTACTGCAGCTCATGTGTAGTTTTTCGTTTTGATTAAAATCCAGTGAATAATTATTATTACTCACAAAATGATCAGACATTTTGCCGATTACACGTGAACTTACTGTTCACGGTTTTTAACACCATCATAACATGCCCATAAATTCTGATAATCTATTCTGAAAAGTTTCAAATTACTTCTCGTCTAGACAGGTGTGTTAATTGGCTAATATCGTAAAAACTAATTCACTTTGTGCAAGTTTTCTCGATAGTAGTCGCCATATTTGGCGTTGAGTAATCCATAGCATAAGCAAAGTTTAGAGTACACAGTATATTACCTGGTTATTTAATACAACTTATGCCAAAAGACTGCCTGGTTCGCGGTATTTAATTAGCCGGGAGTACTAGTATATGTTGAATACAAATTTCCATTATAGACTTGCAACCCAAGTCCCCCAACCGACGACAATATATTTTTGCTTTGTATAAAGTGATATCTAATTATTAATTTTACACTGAAAAACTCAATTATTTATTACTTTAAAGATGAAAACATTTTTAGCGAGGTCGTCTAGCTCAAAAACACACGGGTTCAGCGACAGCGAGAGGAAATTTATTAAAAATTACTTAACGACGTAAAATATTAAAAAAACCGTTT